AAAGGAGGAGGAAGAGCAGGAGGAAGAAGAGGAGAAGAGCAGGAGGAGGAAGAGGAGAAGGAAGAGGAAGAGGAAGAAGAGCAGAAGGAGGAGGAAGAGCAGGAAGAGGAAGAGAGGGAAAGGAGGAGGAGGAAGAAGAGGGGAAAAGGGGAAGAAGAGGAGGAAGAAGAAGGGAAGAGGAGGGGGAAGAGGAGGAGGAGAGGGAGGAAGAGGACGAGAAGAGGAAGAGGAAGACGACAAGGAGAGAGAAGCAGAGACGAGACCCCCGCAAGCCTGGGCAGAGTGAACCACTTACACCGGCTGTCCAGGAGGGAGAGGGGAGGGAGGGGCAGGTTCCCACAGGGTGGGAACAAGGGAGTTGCCCCCCACCCGCACACATCAGATCTGACACACACACACACACACACACACACACACACACACACACACACAGAGGTGGCTGGTAGTGGTCTTGCCCTGGGCTCAGAGGCCGTTCTGCCAGGGTACACCACCCCCTCGCCTCACGGACCGTGCCAGTGGGGGCACAAGCCAAGTGGGGGCTACCCACTAGCTCAGCCAAGTCGGGGTTCAGTTCTAGAAAGTTGGGGGGGGGCTGACCCTTGTGCGGGGGGTGGGTGGGGGGGCTCAGGCCTTCCTTGGCCCCCACCCGCTGGAGGAAAGCTCGTGTCCCTTTTCTGCCATCCTAGGGGGGGGCAACCCCGGTGGTCTCTGGGCGGGTGGGGACCCCCACCCAGCAGCTCATCGAGGGGAGAAGCAACTTGGAACGAAGGAGAAACTTCCCGACGGTGGGAACAATTAACCGGTGGAACGGCTTGCCACCGGAGGTTGGTTGGGGCTGCTCCGTCCACTGGAGGCTTCCGAGAAAAGATTGGACAGCCCGAGCAGGGGGCTGGACTAGAAGACCTCCAAGGTCCCTTCCAACTCTGCCATTCTCTGTGAGGTCACAGAGATACAGAACGACCTCACAATGCCTTCCAGGGAGCCAGATCAGTGTGTGTGGTGGAAGCGTTGTTGTCGGCCGTTTGGTGGTTGAGGAGGGGTTGTCGGGCCAAGGCTAGAGGTGGGTGTGTCTCCCCCCCTCCCCCAAAGATAGGGGTCTTCCCCCTCCCTTCTCCCCAGGCCTCTCCCTCTCCAGCAGACCCCCACATACACACTTGCGCAGCACCAGCCTGCAGGAAGGAACAACAAAGGCCAGGATTTGGGGAATCTGCTTTTGTGTGTTTGTGTGTGTATGTGTGTGTGCAACGCACACTGTGGGGGGCTGCCACCCCTGAGCCTGCGTCCTCCCGCATATCCCCCCTTCTCCGTCATTTAACCCGCATTTCCTCTCTAAAAATCTGAATTAACAAGGATAAAAAGCCACACGCTTCCAAAGCAAGGCAGAGATAAACAACAAATGTCTGTTTATCTAACTAACCCTTTTAGGAGAAAAATGCAGCATAGGCTATAGGAAGAAAGGAGAGATAGGATGGAAAGCGACACCGATGTCAGATTGTATCCTATCCTAGCCGTGCACTGCCTTTGTTAGATGGTCATTTTCTCACTAGGCTAGGAAACCTGGTTGGCTTTGAAAAAAAAACACCCCACCAAGTTTCTAGTCCTCAGAATAAATGCCTATGGGAAATCAGTTTTCCCTCCCACAGGAGCAGAGAACTCAAAACAGCGCACACTGACTAAAAAAATGTCATTGACTAGAAAATGAAATTGACTCGAAAAATGTCAATGACTAGAAAAAAGTAATTGATTAGAAAAATGTCATTGACTAGAAAATGTAATTGACTAGAAAAAAATGTCATTGACTAAAATGTATTTAAGAAAATGTCATTGACTAGGACATGTAATTGATTAAAAATGTCATTGACCAGAAAATGTAATTGATTAGAAAAATGTCATTGACTAGATAATGTATTTAAGAAAATGTCATTGACTAGAAAATGTAATTGATTAGAAAAATGTCATTGACTAGAAAATGTAATTGATTAGAAAAATGTCATTGACTAGAAAATGTCATTAAGAAAATGTCGTTGACTAGAAAATGTCATTGATTAAAAATGTCATTGACTAGAAATGTAATTGATTAGAAAAATGACGTTGAGTAGAAAATGACATTGACTAGAAAATGACATTGATTAGAAAATGTAATTGATTAGAAAAATGACATTGAGTAGAAAATGTAATTGATTAGAAAAATGACATTGACTAGAAAATATAATTAAAAATCTCATTGACTAGAAAATGTGATTAGAAAAATGTCATTGACTAGAAAAAGTAATTGATTAGAAAAATGTCATTGCCTAGAAAAAGTAATTGATTAGAAAAATGTCATTGACTAGAAAAATGTCATTGACAGCTGCTTAGCAGGCCTACAGGTAGTCCTTGACTTATGACTGCAAAGGAACCCAAAATGTCATCACTGTGCCCCATTTTATGAACTTTTCACCACGGTTCTTAAGCGAGTCACTGCAGTTGTTCAATGCATTGTGTAGTTATGAAGCAAACCTGGCCTCTCCATTGTCCTTGATTGTCAGACGGTCGCCAAAGGGGATCTGCCTGACCCCGGGACACTGCGACCGTCACAAATATGAGTCAGTTGCCCGGCGCCCAAATTTTGATCCCGTGACCATGAGGATGGTGTAACGGTCGTAAGTCTGAAAAAGGGCCTACACCATTTCAGACAAAGGGCTGTCCAATCTCTTCCAGTGTTGGAGCATCCACAACTTCTGGTGGCAAGCCATTCCACTGGTTAATCGTTCTCACCGTCAGGAAGTTTCTCCTTAGTTCCAGGTTGCTTCTCTCCTCGGCGAGTTTCCACCCGTTGCGTCTTGTCCTCCAGTGTCCTCTTCCTTCTTCTGCAGGCTGGGTTCCAGTTCTGGAAGGGCCCCGGGGTCCACCCCTCCCCGGAGATGCCCCCGATGGCCTCGGACCCGGGACCCTCCGGGAATGCAGCCACCTGGACGGTGTCCGACCTCTTGCGCTTCTCCCCGCCCTGCTCACCGGCCCCACCTCCTCGCCGCCCCGCCTGGCATCGTTACCGCCTCTCGGAGAGCATGAAGGGGCTGCTGGTGGCCCTGCTGGGGGGCGGCGTGCCCGCCGGCTTTGTGGCCCCCTTCAGCCGCAGCGTCAACGAGGTTTCGGGGATGCCCTCCCTGGAGATCCTGTTCTTCCGCTGCTGTCTCCACCTGCTCTTTGCTGGCTACCTGCGCTACCAGAAGGTGCCGTGCTTCGGGCCCTCGGAGGTGCGCCAGCGGACCCTGTTCCATGCCTCGGTCAACGTCATCTCCATCGCCTGCGCCTACAGCTCCTTCATGATGGTGCCCAGCGGCAACGCGGCCACCGTGCGCAAAGGGTCCTCCACCATCTCCTCCGTGGTGCTGGCCTTGTGCATCGAGAACAGCCGGCTGACCGGCTACGACTGGTTCGGGCTGGTGGGCAGCACGCTGGGCTTGATCATCATGGTGGTGCCGGATCTGTTGAGTTTGGACAAGAGCACCCAGGTCTATGACACCTTCGGCTACGTCTTGGCCTGCTCGGGAGGCATGGCGTTGGCCGTGGGGCTGGTGATTTTCCGATCGCTGGACTTCCCGGCCAAGCTGACGACGGTGGCCTTCCTCTTTGGCTTGGTGGGAAGCTTGGTCTGCTTGCCGATGATGTTCCTCCTCCAGGAGCCGGTGATGGTGCTGAATCCGCTCACCTGGATGTACGTGGTGGCCATCAGCCTCCTGGCTCTTTTCTCCTTCTTGTGCGCCAGCTACGCGGTGACCAAAGCACACCCGGCTTTGGTGTGCGCTGTCTTGCACTCTGAAGTGGTGGTGACCCTGGCCATCCAGTACTACGTGCTACAGGAGGCCGTCACGCCCTTCGACATCATGGGGGCCGGCATCATCTTGAGCAGCATCACCATCATCACCGCCCAGAACATTAGCTGCCATCCGGCTGAGGAGGAGGAGGGACCGATCGTACAGCAGAAAGGGATCAAGTACGCCAAGGAGGCAGTTGGTCAAAGCAGGCACCAACCGGCAGATTGTACGGCAGAAAGGGATCGAGGAGATTAAGGGGGCTGTTGGTCAAAGCAGGCGCCAACCGGCAGATTGTACAGCAGAAAGGGATAGAGGAGATTAAGGAGGCAGTTGGTCAAAGTAGGGACCAACTGGCAGATTGTATGGCAGAAAGGGATTAAGGAGATTAAGGGGGCTGTTGGCCAAAGCAAGCACCAACCGGCAGATTGTACAGCAGAAAGGGATCGAGTAGATTAAGGAGGCAGTTGGTCAAAGTAGGGACCAACTGGCAGATTGTACGGCAGAAAGGGATTAAGGAGATTAAGGGGGCTGTTGGTCAAAGCAAGCACCAACCGGCAGATTGTATAACAGAAAGGGATAGAGGAGATTAAGGAAGCAGTTGGTCAAAGTAGGGACCAACTGGCAGATTGTACGGCAGAAAGGGATTAAGGAGATTAAGGGGGCTGTTGGTCAAAGCAGGCGCCAAACAGCAGATTGTATAACAGAAAGGGACAGAGGAGATTAAAGAGGCAGTTGGTCAAAGCAGGCACCAACCAGTTTGTACAGCAGAAAGGGATCGAGTAGATTAAGGAGGCAGTTGGTCAAATCAGGCATGAACTGTGCAGTAGAAAGGGATCAAGCGCTCCAAGGAGGCAGTTGGTCAAAGCAGGCGCCAACTGGCAGATTGTGTAACAGAAAGGGATAGAGGAGATTAAGGAGGCAGTTGGTCAAAGCAGGCACCCACCAGATTGTACAGCAGAAAGGGATCAAGTAGATTAAAGAGGCAGTTGGTCAAAGCAGGCACCCACCCTGATGGGGAGGCCTGGAAGAAGACCAGCGGGGGCCTTGTGGCCGCCACGGAAGAGTGGGCAATTTGCGGTGCCGGAAGAACCGTCACCGAATTCCAAGCCAAATCTTGGAGGCCGGTGGAGGAATAGAGACGGGTGTTTATCCATCAAAGCGATCGTCATCCTTACGGATCCACCAGAGAAGCAGGCAATTTTTGTGTCCCAAAAATCTTGGCTGCGCCACGAAGCCGCCCTCTGCCTAGGTGGCCCTGTTGGAGCCGCGCCCCCCCCAGGCCAGGCCACCGGACATCTGGACGGCACGGCTAGTCCGAGACCCACTGACCTTTGGGGCGGAAGAGAGCTTTCGGACCAGGCCGAGAAGCCGGGAGCGAGACCCCGGCAAGGTCTACGGAGGCTCCTGCGGAAATTGTGAGATTGTAGTATTTGTGTTGTGTTTTGCGTTTCCAATGGGTATGTTGAGGAAGGGGAAGCAAGGGGGGGCTGTGAGGGGGGACCCTCAGTCTCCATCTAGAGCGCCCGTTGGTTTTCAAACATGGTTTTGAAGGAGAGGTTTGGCCCTCCAGACCAAGTTTTTCAAGCTAGGCCCCTTTTAAGATGGGTGGACTTCAATTCCCAGAATTCCACGCTGACTGGCTGGCTGGGGGATTCTGGGAGTTGAAGTCCACCCATCTTTAAAGCGGCCAAAATAGAGAAACTCTGCTTCAGACAGATGCAGGAATGAACAGGAATCCTGTACGTCGAGCCCACCCCCCACCCCCCCGGTCCAAAATAAATTAAATTTGAGAAATAATGCAGAATTTAAGATTATTTTTTGTGCACGCCGCTAAAAGGACTGTTGTAGTCGCCACGGTTAATGCTGTGTTGTAAAAAGAAAGGTCGTAAAACGGGAGCAAAACTCACTTAACAACTTATCTCGCTTAGTAGTGAAAATTCTGGGCTCCGTTTTAGTCGTGTCGGAAACCTGCCAGAGTATAAATTCCAATGCCGGTGGAACTCCATGCCACAAGATTCGGGAGAGATTGCACAGCTCTCAGAACACCGGAGGGCAGGACGAGAAACAACGGTTCGAAACTCATCAAATGGAGAGAAGCAACCTGGAATTAAGGAGAAGCTTCCTGACAGTGAGGACGATCGACCAGTGGAACCGCTTGCCACCAGAAATCGTGGGCGCTCCATCACTGGAGGTTTTTAAGAACAGACTGAGATGGTATAGGTTCTCCTGCCTGAGCAGGGGGCTGGACTAGAAGGCCTCCAAGGTCCCTTCCAGCTCTATTCTGTTCTGATTCTATTCTTCAGCAGGCTGCGATTATTTTTATATTAAGTTGATATCCCGCCCATCCAAGCGACTTGGGGTGACTTACACCCTCTTTTTAGCCGGAGTTAAGGTAGGATCTGGCTACACCCCCACCCACCCACCCTCCCATCCCTTGTGCCCCTTTTTATGGCCCTCCCCTCCAGGGAAGACATAACAGATGCCCTTAACAGCCATTTAGGCAAGAAAAATCAAATGTACAGGTATAGTATAGGGGATACCTTGCTCAATAGTAGCAACTGTGAGAGGGACCTCGGAGTCCTAGTGGACAATCCCTTAAATAGGAGCCAGCCGTGTGCTGCAGCTGCCAAAAAAGCCAACACAGTGCTGGGCTGCATCAACAGAGGGATAGAATCAAGATCACGTGAAGTGTTAATACCACTTTACAAGGCCTTGGTAAGGCCACACTTGGAATACTACATCCAGTTTTGGTCACCACAATGTAAAAAAAGACGTTGAGACTCTAGAAAGAGTACAGAGAAGAGCAACAAAGATGATTAGGGGACTGGAGGCTAAAACATACAAGGAACGGTTGCTGGAATTGGGGATGTCTAGTTTAATGAAGAGAAGGAGAGGGGGGACATGATAGCAGTCTTCCAGTATCTCAGGGGCTGCCCCAAAGAAGAGGGAGTCAAGCTATTCTCCAAAGCGCCCGAAGGCAGGACATGGAGCAACGGATGGAAACTAACCAAGGAGAGAAGCAACCTAGAACTAAGGAGAAACTTCCTGACAGTTAGAACAATTAACCAGTGGAACTACCTGCCTCCAGAAGCGGTGAATGCGCCAACACTGGAAGTTTTTAAGAAGAAACTGGACAGCCATTTGTCCGAAATGGTATAGGGTTACCTATACCTGAGCAGGGGGTTGGACTTGATGACCTCCAAGGTCCCTTCCAACTTTATTATTATTATTATTATTATTATTATTATTATTATTATTATTATTATTATTATTATTATTATTATTATTATTATTATTATTATTATTAAACAGTTGCAGGGGTTCACTTAAGAACGGTGGGAAGCCAAGGCATCAAAGGGGGTGAAATTCCCTTAGCAAATATGGTCATAAGTCCCGTTGAGTCCCGTTACCCTTAATTCAGCTCCGGACCGTTTCGATCTGGTTCTCTCTACTACGGTCTCCAGTTAGGCCATCCTGGTTAATCGGGCGAGGCCGGAGCAGAAGCCAGGATGCTGGAGAAGGAGGAGAGGCGTGGAGGGCATGGCAGCCAAGCCCGGAAAAAGGAAATTAAACCGAATTCCCGCAGATCAAATCCAGCCCTTCTCCTTTTAAGCACAAAGCCAGCGTCCTCACCTTTTTTGGGGGGGCTTCACTTCCGTTTTAAGGGCCCCCTAAAATCGGTGCTTTCTTTCTTTCTTTCTTTTTCTTTCTTTCTTTTTCTTTCTCTCTCTCTCTCTCTTTCTTTCTTTTTCTTTCTTTCTTTCTCTCTCTCTCTCCCTTTCTTTCTTTCTTTCTTTCTTTCTTTCGCTTTCTCTCTCTTTCTCTCTCTTTCTTTTTCTTTCTTTCTTTCTTTCTTTTGCTTTCTCTCTCTCTCTCTCTTTCTTTCTTTCTTTCTCTCTCTCTCTCCCTTTCTTTCTTTCTTTCTCTCTCTCTCTCTCTCCCTTTCTTTCTTTCTTTCTTTCGCTTTCTCTCTCTTTCTCTCTTTCTTTTTCTTTCTTTCTCTCTCTCCCTTTCTTTCTTTCTTTCTTTCTTTCTTTCTTTTGCTTTCTCTCTCTCTCTCTCTCTCTCTCTCTCTTTCTTTCTTTCTTTCTCTCTCTCCCTTTCTTTCTTTCTTTCTTTCTTTCTTTCTTTCTTTCTTTCTTTCTTTCTTTCTTTCTTTCTTTCTTTCTTTCTTTCTGGGTGATTCCCCCCCCTTTTTTTTCCTTTTCCCTGAATTTCCCAATTCCTGGCAGGTCCTTCCTTTGCCAAACTGTTTCTTCTCTCCAGGCCGGCCGGCAGAATCGACCGCAAGGGCTGATTATTTTTCTAAATTCCAGAGTTGTGACTCAGACAGAGAAAGAGAGAACAACAGGAGGCAGAGTTAACAAGCAGCCTTTCCATTCTCCCTTCCTTTCCCTCCCTCTGCCTTCCCCCAAAGTCTTCTCTGAGCGGGGGTTCTCTCCTTCATGAGGACCAGAAACTTGGTCAGTGGGCATGAATCTGGTCCCAGGCGGGAA